ACCATTGCCATGTACATCAGGAAGAAGATGGTTTGATGCTTTATTAGCATGGATATAGATTTTCAGGACTTCCAGGTACCTTACAGTGTCTTTTAAAGTGGTTTTACTTTACCAAAACAACACCAGATATTTCTGGTCTGCTGAGCATAAAACACACCTTACTGATTGGAGCTATACTTATGGTGAGTCTGAACAGTTTTCTTTTCCAGAAATTCCAGTACAGAGGTATCACAGTTTAAGGCCCTTAAACTTGAAGCCCCTCTGTTAATCTGCTAAGGTTAGTCTCTTCTTGAAAACCCTTCACTTGTAAAAATGCTGGAACAGTTATTGTTATCCTAGAAATAAGATGAAAGTGATAAAGCCACAGAACAAAGTGGTGCAGGTGGGTTGGAACAGAATATGCAGCTTTCATTGCTCCAATTTTCGGTGATGGGTAGTGAAGAATTTAACTTCTCTTTCAATTTTGCCATAAAATTTTAAGCATGTTGCAACTACCTCATTTATCTTGGGGACAGATGATCTGTATGATCTATCTGTTGGGGAACACACTGTTTAAAGATCGTAGAATCACAGATACTTCTAGTAACTGCAATTAACCACATCTTCACTAAATCACACACCTTTAAAAGTACAGGTGCAACATCCTGTGTCACTGTCATCTGCCTTTACTGAACTGCTCTACCATCTTACTGACTTTCCATGCCTATTGCTTCTAAGCAACAACACCTGTGTTTGTTACACCAAAGGCAGTCAGCAGTTCACATCAAGGTACCTTGTAGTTATCGGTAGCTCCCCTTCACTAAGTCCGTATATTTCATCCCGGAGAACGTCTTCAACTCTCTCTTTTCTAATTGAATCCTGCTGTCTGTTTTTGAGTGTTAAGATGTCTCTCCCACACTTTTTTGCAGAATACCGGTGGTCAGTGGACAAACTGACAGCTTGTTCGGCTTCCTGTGGCCACAAAGGGGTGCAGCTGCCCCAGCTGAGGTGCTTGCTGGATGGGGCTGAAGTCAACACATCCTACTGCAGAGAGACACCCAAGCCACCTCTGCAGCCTGTTGCATGCAACAGAAGAGACTGCCCTTCACGGTTTGTATGTCTCATATTAAAAATGTCACACATGCGTTTAAGATGTGCTTGAGTTGTTCTTTGTAGAACTACCAGCCTCTCTGGTGCCTGTTGGGAGAAGTCATGGCTAAAAGGGAATTTATGAGTGCTTAACCTAGACAGTTGGGATTCTATAGCAAAATTTGTGGAAAACACACAGTACCTGGTAGAAAGAGAGTTCATTCCTTTAGTAATTTGATTAGAAAATAAAGGCTATTGCTTACTTTTTATTAGTAAAGTTCACAGGTTGAGTTGTCTTGGGTGATTCCAGCCTTGCCTTATGTTGGATATAGTTATCATGTCTTTTCTGAGCACTATACATGTGGGAATTTTGTCACCCAGCAGCTGCAGGATTATTTCTTTTTTGTATTACACATGGTTTCATAGCAGTTTAGTTAGATAATGTAAAAGACAAGGAATTAAGTTTGTGCTTTAATTCTGAGTTCCTGTGTTGCCTGAACATTGATATGGGCAGGACTGTAGCTGTAGTTGCAAAGAATTTTCTTAGCAGAGTGAAAATATCTTTTGTAAAATGGCA